AGTTTAATAAAAGAAAGCAAAATATTGATTTAAAGTTTTATAGATGAAACTTTTGTACATAGAAAAAACAAGAAAGGAGGAAGAAAATTTTATTTACTACTCACTGTAGATTGATTTCTGAATAGCCCTCATACACTAATGGTAAGATATATCCCTGAGCTACTTATTTACTCTTATTCTTCTTCACTATTATCACTATCCCATAATTTACTGCCTGAAACTTTTCCAGCTGATTTGTATGTATCAATGAACTTGTTTACAATGACATTGTAAATAAATAAAACTATTACATCAGTGCAAAAGCATAACATGGTAATCTGTAATCTGACAAGTGCCTTTCTTCAATTAAATTGTTTAGGATCATCTATACCACTGACAATTCTCATTTTATCAAATTGTTTAGTATTGTTCATATATACAAACAATGGTCTTAAGACTTAACTCATACCCCAAATTCACTGATAACTGATCTTTTTTCATCTCATTGCTTCAGTTACACATTAAAAAAAAATGCAGGTAGCATGTATGTGATTTCCAATAAATTCCTGTATTTTTACACCAGTCATACATAAATAAAGTCATTACTAATTATTATTGCCTTACTATCCTTTAGTTTCTTAATACTGGTTTTTAAGTTTTTATCACAAATTGAGGAAAAAGTTCTTAAAAGAAAACAGACTTTCTTTACTGAGCTAACTTAAAAACCAGTATAATGGTCCTATTAATAATTAATGTCCAAGTTGATAAAAAATATATACAGTCGACCCCCTATACACGGTAGATACATTCCTGTTTTTATGAATCCAGCTTCTAGGAGTCCAGCCAATCATAGCCCGGCACGTACGCAGTTTACGGACTACAACTGTTTGAAAGATTTCTTCCATAAAATTAATCGATTCTAGACTAATTCGACTCAACATTTCCAAAATATGTATAATCTTTTGGGAATAATCCATATAAACTATGTTATAAACAAAAAATTGTAGGATTACTTACTGAGTGTGCACCGTTTGACTACGCCGTTGCTTAAGCTTGTTTTCGTCGTGGAGATTGTCATCGAATGGCACTCACATGCTTCCTGATAAATAATTTTTTTTGTGAAAAATTCGCTGAACTTTGGAGACATCATTAATATAAATATAATTTTTATGGACGTTAAATAATAAATGGTTTTTGGTAGGTCCGCTGCTCGTTTAAACTCAACGGTTTGTGTAATCCTGTCGTGACACGAGTCGGCGATGACATTTTACCAAATTATATGAGTTTTTTAGCATGTTTGTACGAATACTGTTGCAATTTTTTCATCGTGATATAGGAATCCAAACTATAGGAACCCGTGTTATGGGGAGGGGTCGACTGTATTAAAGTCATTACTAATTTCAAGGAATATAGAAAATGAAGCAATAACTCATTTCTAGAAATACATTATAGTGTCTAAGGTTTTGTATTTCTAAGAACCAAATTTTTTACAAAATTTATTTTTATATTTGGCATAAAATATAGTAGTCAATTTACTGAACTAAAACCAAATATAAATAGTCCAGATAAAGAGATCTTTCATATTTACTTGACTTGATATTTACTTGATCAACTCATACATTTTAAAAATCCATCAATATCATACTATATTCTTAATATGGTAAATATCTTTACATAGTCAAACAATTTATAATGATAAATTTCTGTTATATATACTATTTGCATATACAGTACCAGATCAAGACAAATGTAAGTACTGTACATGTAAATCACACAAGTAACAAGGTGTTAAAGTCTAATGGTTTACATACATTATGCTATGAAGAACTTAATTTTGATTATAAAGTTGTTCTAATTATTTTTGTTTAACAGCAATATTACTTTTAAGCAAAGTATAATCTCAGAATGGCAGCTGTGTATGCAGGTGTGTTTATAAATGTATACAAAATAAAACCTTAAGTAAAAGTTAGCAAAAGATTTTATTTTTATTACTTACATAAAATAAAAAAATATAAAAATTAACACGTATCAAATGCTAACAAAATGTTTACTTTAACCACTGCTGGTTCCAGGAAAAAACCGAGAAGCATCTTAAATTATATTGTATGTTATACACAACATACATAGGTGGGTATATTAACTATAGGTGGTATATTGTTTATATTCTAAAACTGACAGAAAGAATGTGCTCCAGACTTGCCCTTACCCTGTGTCTGTGTCTAATGAAAGAAGAATAAAAATACATCTGATGAAAACAATAATGTGAATAAACTGACTCCCAGGAGAAGGTAAATAATAAACATGTCTATTACCAATGAATGTTTCATTGTAATTGATTTACATGGCTCAAATTTCTCAATAAATAATGTTTCCCAGATGAATAAACAGTTGCAATCCTCACAATGTACGAGGAAGATAGATTCATTTCACAAGTGTAAAGTAATAATTGAGAACCATAATAATAATTTTCACAGAACTATCTAGAAAGATAGTTCTGTGAAAATTGTATTATTACAACATTGATGTTCTAATATACAACTATGTAACTTTCTAGTTGTGGCTCCGATATACAATACTTTTTCATCACTGTTTTTGGTGTTGTTAGGGTTATGTGTATGTCAGATTTTTCTAATATAGTTAATTTGTCCCTCTCATTACATAGTATCCTACATAAGGGTAGCTGTGGTTTTATTGGAAAGTTAAATCCTGATTTTTGAAATATTCTGGTGATGCATAAGGACATAGATCCAAGATACAGGATGGGTGGGCTTATATAAATGCAATCCTTTTTTATTTTTAACTTTAATGGTGAAAAAGAGGGATTTTCACACATGGGCGTAAATGACTTGAATTTTGTGTAAGTATATCCTGCCCTACGCATTGTCATTTTAATAAATTGTAATTCTTTTCTTATCAAATGTTGCAATGAGGGTAATATGCAGGCTTTAAATAAGTGCAGCTATAACATTGTTTATGTAGCAAGGCAGTTGGAATGAAGTAGCTGGTATGATGTAAGGATATAATTTAAATGTGTGATATACACTGAAACAAACTCTTTCAAGCATTTTTTTCTATTAGGTGATGTAGGAAACTGATGCTGCTGTCTCTAATTTTTTTATTTCTTTATTTTATCTTTTTCATTATTTTTGTGTTTTACTCATCAAAACTTTATAATGCCGATAGACAGTGCTATTAAACTTTTATTTTATAGTATTCATATTTCCTTTACAAATGTAAAATTTACAACTGATATTTGACCCAATCTCATATCAAAATGTTTTTTCTATATTCAAGGATGATATAACGTTAATTATATCTGCTATAAAGTTACATTTTACATTAATTCAGTTTTTAAAGACAGGTATATCACAATTTCTAGCACCTTTGTTTCCAAAGCCTTGCCAGATTAACCTTTTTGTTGTGGTCACATAATAATATTTACCAACACATCTCTAACCCACTTATTATATACATCTCTGATGTGTCTAAAGTATATCATGGACTGCTAGAATCATAGATCAATACAGACTAATGTTTATGTTTGACACCAACATTGACTTGTCTCCCTTAGAAACCATAGTTAGGGTTAAATTTAAGTTAAATAAATTAAGAATATCACAAAATTGCAGTATTACCACCAAGTACAGTGTAAATAATGTAAATAAGAAAGCTAAAATTCTAATGGTCTGTGTGTCCACCCAGTAAACTAGTCTGGTGGCCACAGGAATTTTAAGTTCATCTTGTAATTTAGTCCAGATCATCATTGCACCTATATTACATCAATAAAGATAAACCTGTAAAGTTCAAAAACTTAAATGACATGAGTTAAGAAAATGATAGCTATTGTTTTTTGAATTACTTTTGGAATACTTAGGTGAAGTGTATATGATGGTGGTATTTCTGGGGCAATTCAGGATTGGGAAAGGCACCTTACACTAGGAAATTTTGTAAACTGAAAAAAATTGTTTTGATTCAGAAGCAAAAAGGTAAGCTGTGAGGTTTGCCTCTTTATTGAAGTACAGTATATTCACTGAAAATAATTTTTACCTTGAACTAGGCTATAGTGCAATCAGTGGTGTACTGGTTACAGATTTATGGGACCTAGTCAAATTTGAATTAGCGGGTCCCATGTACAGTGTTCACCTGAGATGTTTTTCTTTAAAGAAATTTCTTGGAAAAATATTTTCTAATGATAGATTGATCTGAGGCCCTCTGTTGGTTGGGACCCCAGGCAATTACCCTTTTTACTCAGAGGATAACATACCACCAAGTACAACTGGCTATTCTCCACATTTTTCATGTAGTCACTTGCACCTCAGCACACAAAGTTGGAGGTGGGACAAGTTCCCCACACCCCCAACTACATAACATCAAATACTCCATGAACAGTCAGTTAAATTAAGAGCCGGCATTGACACAAAAACACTAATCTCGTCAAGAAAAAACACACAAAAGTGCCCTTCCCCACTCCGAATCGTCTGGAACCACCACAACTCATCACATTTCACCCAGATTACTCCACAAATAAAAAAACACTAGACACCTTTTCCTTAACTCACATCATTCGAATTACAAAGTCTGATTTACTCTGACAAAAACAAATTCGAATCATCACAATCAGCATATAATAACCAATACACACAACCACATCAAAAAACAAAACAATATTCTTTATATAAATAATCATATTAATATTTTCTAAAAATAAATTTATATTCCCATTCTTTACAATGTAAACACTTAAATTATTAACCTAAAATACACATTAAGTCATGTGAAAGGCTATAGCTTAAATCAGTAACCAAGTCAACGTTCCCATTTATAACAGCAATCAGCTGTTTATAACGCAGTGTATAAAAATAAATACATATTACATTTTACTTGCAAGTTATATAAAATTATAAATAACTTTCGTAATTTTACAAATTATTCTTTTTTGTGCGTAACGGAATTACGAAATTTACGTAATTCCTAATACAAAACTCGATGACGACGGATTTAAAAAAAAAAATTCTTTTTACCTTTAGCGGAATCAAACAAACGAACCGGCGATGTTAATCCTAAAGGATTATTCCAAATATTTGCGAAAAGTCTCCTCTCGTTAGATTTCATCTCGAATAATTTAATTATAAAAAAAGATAATACGTCTACTAACAGTATTCTTCTATACGACTTTCAATCATCATCTTCCTTCTCTTCCTTCGCCATCTTGGATAAAGTCGGAAGATGACAAATATTTATAAAGTGGAAGAAAGAATATATTTTAAATATCAATAATTAATTAAATTATTTCGTTAAGAATTAATATATATATTATTCGTTCGGTTAATTTACTTTTGTATTTTGATAAATTATTTAATTTTTATAAATGTTCGGAATTTCTAGACGTCGTCTGCGCTTCATTATTTTTTTAAATATATTTTTATATTAATTTATTTATTTTATAAAATGGAATTTTTTGTATCTACAATGTGTTTTATTAATTTTATTACAGTTATATTTAATAATATGTTATGAACGAATAGATAAACGAAATTTCGGCATTTTATCCACCGATTCGTCTGCCCCATTTTATGAAAATTAATATGATTTTTATATTAATAAATCTTAAATGTAATTCAATTTATGTAAATGTTTTATAAATGATTATTTTTCTTTATTTACAACAGATATTTAAGAAAATATAAATGGCGCGTTGCTCGGTAAAGTGGCTTTAATACAGCTGGATAAGCAAACCAATCATATATTCCGTTTCAAATAAAACGAACTATATGATTGGTTTGCTTATCCAGCTGTATTCAAGCCGCTTTACTACACGATGCACCCAGATATAAACATTTCAGAACAAGATATTTCAGTACAGACAAATATATCTTCAATTATTTTTTTATTAAGCACTAGCAAATGACTTTAAAAAAGTCTTTATAACTTACAAAGACATATCCTGGCAGAGTAAAAATCTTGCAATTTTAGTTACTTAATATTATCCACTGACCTACCTAATGCTTTTCTGGACATCAACAAAAACTGAATAATAAATTATCAGCACAGTGTGTACTTTGCCTAATTCACTGATGTACAAAACTGCATTAATGCAAAGGAATACCTGGTTGTGGTTGGTACTTCACCTTCTGGAAGCCTCAACTCACTGTCATACAGATACATGACAAAAATGATTGACATATCTTAAGAAATTCTGCATGATGTTTCAAGTGATCCTGGCAGATGCTTAATGTATAGATATATCAACTTATGTTCTATAGTTCATAAAGAATATTATGTTTACTGCATCCTAGGAAACAATAAAGATCAATTGAAGATTACAATAATATAAAAAAATATGCAGCCTAAGTCAGTTTGATCAAATGCTTTCATCTGATCAGACAGAAAGTATAAGTATAAAAAATATTTCAAATAAGAAAGCTTTGCAGTAGAAGTTTATATTACACAAACAAAAATTATTGTGACAAGGTTACAATGTTAAGCTGCAATTTTTAAACATATTTTTAATTAATTAAATTTAAAATATATGTTCTCAATCTCAGATTAGTAGTGTCTTGCCCCTGTACATCATACATTTCCTGACGACAGTCATGCCAGTCATCTATGTAACTCCATTCTGCGGAAAATTTTTGAATTGAAATAACGCGACTTCTGGTGCAAACCAGAAATCGTATATAATTATTCAGGACCTCCTGCTCCTATGCTTTCCATATCTGGTCTTGACTTTCATATATCTGACACCATTCTCGAGATGAAGGAAGAACAGACAGATGACAACAGAAATTTATAGGTCTACAATTTTTCAGTTAAAAAGTTGAGCTTATGTATCATTACATTTTGAAAGATAAGTCTAGAAATGCAACTTCTTTACGAGCTAATTCATTTCTTTTCTTTTGTTTTTTCAGTTACTTAAGAATTGCTCAAAAGATGTTCATTTTCATCTAAACATTTCACTAATTGAAATGTTTAGATTTCAATTAGTGAACATTTCACTAATTGAGTAACAAAGCTTTGCTGAACACAGACCTATAGCTAGAGGGAGGCCAGAGGTAATTGCGCCACCCATCCATTATACCAAATTATGAAATTATGTTTGATTATATTTTTTAAATACAGTAGAGCCTCAAAAACTCTGCACTCGATAACCCGGCACTCCGGATAAATCGGCCACACCCTGGCAGGGCAAAAAAAATCCTTAGTTAATTAATTTTCATGATAAAGACAGCTTTATGCCTCATAAAGTATTTTTCTGAGGTCTGTCTAATCAGGTAAATTACTGTACAGTGTATTCATTAACTTTCATTTTCATGTAGTAAAGGCTCTATGCCTTCATAAAAGACGTACTTTTCCTTTGAAAAAGGGTATTTGGGCAGTTTATTCTCTGTTGTATTCTCATGTAAACAATACATACAAGTACAGAACAGTATTTTCTGAGGAAACACTCATACTTATTTTTTTTAACCCCATTCCCGATAACCCGGCATTTTCACAAACTCGGCCACCCTTTGGTCCACATTAGGCCGAGTTTGAGGCTCTACTGTATTTAATTTTTAACATTTAAATCTTGAATATTGTTGTACGATTTTGTAAACACATTATTTAATAGTATTATATCATATTTCAAAAATTTTCTGGTCTGTCCCAGACTCTCTTTCCCTGGGGTACTCCATAACCCTGACCCATGTAAGGCCAACCCACAAATTGCTAGAGCCATCCCTATTATAGTTGGTCTAGCTACATCCTCACAAACAGACTGCAGCATCTCTAATGTTATTTTAGTACATTCGTTGCTTATTCTTTGTTTCATATCTTGAATTGTGGTTGGTCATTGATACAAAATCCTTACGAAACCTCAGTATTTGGATTTTTACTGCGCCATTATCTTTCAAAACACACAAAATCATATGCTCATAACTTTAATACAAGAAGGAATATATTGCTTAACTTATGATTTCTTTTGACTGTATACAAAAACTTGCATTTATAGTCTTTTGTGAAATAATATACAACAGTTTTCTACTAAAATATTTAATAATTCATAAATGTGAGTTGTTAGTACATTCTTAAATTAGAAAAATATTTTGTACACATTCATTTTCAGAATATAAATAATATGTAAAGACATACACACACACAGACAGATAAATGTATTATGTATGTATGTATATATTATTCACACAAAACTACATTTTACTTTTTATAATATGGACAAATTTTTTATTAACAGATTTCTTTCTTCATCACAGAACTGTTGAACTAATTTCAAACATTCTGATGTAAATGATGATGACTTTTTGTCATTAAAATTATAAGAATGTTCCTTTAATTTAGTTTTTAAAATTTGTTTTGAAATTCTTTTGTACATGTTTTCATCTTTGGGATTATAAAAGTTATTGAAATATATATCTTCTAAATTCTTCCTGAAAAATATTCAGTATTTATTATAAAATTAGTATATTTAGTCAGTCTTTCATTTTTTAAAGAGCAAAACTTCAAAATAAATAAATATATACAAGTCGACCCCCTTATAACACTGTTGATAATTCCGTTTTATATGAATTCCATGTTGTACGAGTCACTTAGATTTTACAAATACGTATGCCGGGCTGTGAATGGCTCATGTATTTGTAAAATCTAAGTGACTTGTACAACATGGAATTCATATAAAACAGAATTATCAACAGTGTTATAGGGTCGACTGTATATACACAGATCATCCAAAAAGTTACTATGCAGTGGAAAAGGTTTAAGTAAAGTTTTAATCAAAGTAAAGTTTTATGTACAATATTGTGGCTTCTCTCACAGCAAATGTTGAAGATGTCCCCCAGGGGCCCCAATATCCAGGAGAGTGAAATCTGGGACCTAGAAGGCCAGATTTCACGCAAAATGCAGCAAGGAAGTATTCCTAAAATCAGAACATCTGTGAGTAAGCTATAATGCCATGTACAACAAAGTGGAAATACAGGACATACAACTTATGGGTCTCATATGCAATGCTGTGTGTATAACTTTAACATCATTACAAATTTCTCCCTGCACAGTAACTTTTCGAACACAATATATATAGATATATATGTATAAGAATTAGATAACAATGACCTCTGAATTATCAGATTAATGCGGAATAACAGTAATGTTAATTAATTAAACTATGTAATTTGGCATATAAATAGGCAGTCCACCAGCTTATACCATTATAGTCCATTAATAAATAATCTGATAGTTTAGATCTTTCATTGTTTGAATGTACTGGACCATAGTTTATATTTGCATAAAAGTTAGATATTTTTTCATCTAAAATTAGCCTAAACAAACTATACTGCCAAATTTTAATGAGGCTATAATATGGTTACTTCATTACAAAGATATTACACAACTTGAACTAGAGGTAAACCTTTAATAATAATAAGTAAAGTATATCATCTTGGTAGAAAGATTAATCCAGAAGAGGACTTAACTCCTAATAATCATACAGATTTGTCAATGGGTAGTGTAATTGGCACTGCCAATTACACTATCCATACCTCTGTTTAATCTTTACCTCCACAGTGAGTTTATATATGTATGTATGTACATATGTGTGTTTGTGTGCGTTGACTGATAGCCACAAGCAAATAATCATTCCCAGTTGGCATGGTTACCTGTACAGTTATATCTTCTAAATGAATTTGTCTGGAAGCAAAGCTTAGGCAGAGGTCAGAGTAATGTAATTAGCAATGCATCTGTATGATAAGCAAGAGTTGTAAGTTCAAATCATGCTATGAACCAATTTTTTCTTTCAAGATATTCTAAATAACCTTATTTTTCATTCTTAAATGTCTATCTCCAGTGGCATGCTGTCCTTGGAAGTGGTGGAAGCACCGCTTCCCTTGTATTTTCTAAAATATAAATACATATTGTGCAATTATTTTCATATTTTAACATACTTTGAATTAATTAAAATTAATATTTTATTAAAACCGCATTATGTATCTTATTACAAATTTATATACAACATGTGAGAAAAATAATAAGATTGCATTGTATATTTGAATATCAAAATGGAAGCACTGTATTCCCAATGGAAGTGCTGTATTGTTGAATACGGAACAACTTCCACGGCAAAAATATCTGAATGGCGTAAAGCAGCCAGATTATACGCATTTGCGCTTGTGCTTTACAGAGCACCAACCTCATGCAGTTTAGCTGATGGATGCTACACACCAAAATAGCATTTAACGCTTCCAATGATTCTGCCCAGGACTGGTTCTGGGCTGTTAGCCGCCTGCCTGCTAGATATTTGGCCGTCCTTGCCCGATTATGTGAATCACGAGTAGATTTATAACTTAACCCAACCAATAGGAATTTACTGGTATGTTTTTATGATAGTTCTGTATAGTTGACAGAAGTTAAAAAAAATCCATTAAGATATTTGATATATTTATTCTGCTTTCAATCTGCTCTCCCATCTTGTATTACTTACAGATTTCAATGTTAAACTAGTGATATTACGATTTAGTATGTCCCATCTATAAGGGGAGGCAGAAAAAAATGTGTACAATTCTTGTACAATGTTAAAAAATTAACTGTTACTTTGGCATCATCATTTACAACTAAATTTAACGAATGAGACACACAAGATAAAAAAAGCCATAGAATTTATTTTCCTTAAATTTACGATTTATGTATCTGTTATCATAAAAATTTGTCTTTCCACTTCTTTCCAAAAACTACATATTCAAGTACAAAGTAACCAGTTTCAACTTATTTCTACTTAAGAAGTAGTTAAATAATTAAGAGATTAGTGAATTAGGGACATAAATAAAACCCTGTTGAAGAAACAAAAGCTTAACTGAACAATCTCTAGCTGAGCACAGTGAGGACTGATTTCTTCATAATATTAAATGTAATAAAGACAGAAATTTTTTCAGTTCAATGAGCATGACTGAAAAGTTGTAAATTTTGGAAATTTCCATGGACATCTGGTCCTGAAATGAATTAGTTAGTAAACAAATGATGGACAATCTATTAAGTTTTACATATTTAGATTTTTACAGCTATGAGAAATGTTTAAAATTTACAACAACCCTATCGCATCCTTTGAGGTATACTAGTGATGTGACAAAAGAGACATTTGACATTGACCAGTATCAGCACCCTTGGGATTTGGAGGCCCGCATGCATGTATGCACTGCACACCTACCAGGACCATCTCTGATTCTATCCATTCGCCACTCGCTATTTGACTAAATGGATTATTTTAAGATTTAAAAAGTAAAGAATATTTAAGTTATTTTTATGTACATTTCTTTACAAAGCTATATTTAATTATAATTTTTTTAAAAGAATATACACATTTTATTTCACCAAGATTTTATAATTTTATTTTTAATTTTAGCCCTTATTCATGGCTAGCAATTCAGAATGTAATTGTGATATTAAAAATACATTTAGAGAAGTCTACAGTTTTTATTGGCTTATTGAACAAACAAATTCAAATGGATCCTAGACCATCCCTGACATGCAATGAACTGATTGCCCCTGGAAGTCGGCTTCTTACAGGAACACGGCTTCCCTATCATTAAATGTTACGGCATGCCACTGCCTATCGCTAGTTCAAATGACAATACTTTTATAATTGATTGGCCATATTCTAGCCTGATTAAAACGTGACATTATTGTTTGTTCATTGATATAAATTAAATTATACATTTTTATTATCATCAATTATTCTATGAATAGAATTATTTATGAATCTGTTATTTAATCACTTCATGTATATATTTTTAACTCGTCACTACTCTTCACTTAACTTTTTTTTTAACTATCACTTCATAAATTTTCTTCATGTACTTATAAACTTTATATTTCTGCCCTGTTGGCACTAAGAGAGTTTTTTTCTTTTAGGACAACTAGGACAAACCATCCCAAGAAAATTTCTAGAGTTTTTTTGACCACTTGGATTCAATCCCAGGTCCCATTGAGTGGTAGGCTGACATCTCAACTGCCTTGGCCAATCAGCTGACAATCACTTCATATTATAATTGTCTTGCAATTATATTAGTGTAATTGACAAAATCTAAGCATGAAAAATATCTTCCATATTAAACTATTACCTGGAATAATTTGATGAAGAGAGTACTTTTAAACAGATATCCAAATTCCATGTGAAGCCTTCTCTGTGACATCCTAATTTTCTAAATATACATACATATTTATTTTATTTAATAATCTCTAAAGCCATAATAATACATTGTTAAAATTTAGCATAATCAATTATCAATAGCTTATTTTTATAACTAAATGAAATTACAATTTATATACAATGGTACTTCATACTTTGAACAAATAACTTTGAATGCTTGAGTTTGAAATGCAAAATTTGACAAAAATCTGCCTTGGAGTTCAAACTGTTTGTACACATTCATTTTCAGAATATAATGAATGAATTTCATTTTCAGAATGAAAAAAATATGCTTTGAGCACATTTTTCAGAATACTGAAAAATATGTGCTCAAAGCATAAATGCAATCTGTCGTGCGTCCAAGTCATCTCTTGTTCTCGTGTTATGCTTGTATGTTTTTGAAAAAATCTGCACAAGTTTGCGTAATGCAGTTTCTATCTTGGAAATAAGAAAACTATGACCCAAATAGTTATTTGAAATGCTATTCATTATCTTTTATTTTTGTAATTCTTCAAGTCCATGTCATCAAACACATCAATTTAACTTTGGATGTAAAGTGTAAGTTTCTATATAAGACTTTGATTCATATGTTTTTCAACAATAAGTGATCAATCAGCTGCTTGGTATTTTTTGCCTTTCACCCTTCATAAATGGCTGCCTTAAGAATTGCACAAAATCCTTGATTAGACTAATTTCTGGCATCTTTACAGGATTGTCCTCCTTATCAACAAAGTGATGCTTTCTTGTCACATGTAATTCTAGTATGATTTTGGTGTAATGGGATCTTGCTTGGTCTGGCCAGAAGACATTCTGCTAGAGAATAGTTTTTTTTTTAATGTAAGGAATAAAGTGACATATATATTCATTTCAATATCACTGAGCATCAATTGCCAAACTTGATCTTCTGATCAGGGCTTCACTTAATCCTTTCAGTCCTATTGAAATACAAACCAAAACCTGCCCTCAAATTTTTTCCTCAGAAAACTTTACATCAGCAAAGGTAGAGGAGCTATTGCTGGCATAAAATCCACTATTACAACTGAGCATTGAGTGCAAAAGCATTAATGTGTAAAAGTTGTACACTCTTAGGTGTAAAACATCATCTTTCATCACTTTTTAGAAAGAAGCAAAAAATTAAATACAGAAAGATTCTGTAATATTCTACAGAATTCCAGACACTTTCAAATTATAGCATGTGCAGCATAAATAAAAATTATTTGATTGTTAGCTAGAGCCTGAGATATTTTGTGCAGATTTTTTCAAGACACCTATTGCTCCTTATTTTTGGTTATTTAAGTAACTTAGGAAACATTACCACCAATATATCTGCAAATACATAATACTGAATGTTTCAAAATAAAAGTGTTTTTTGGTTTTTTTGTTATTTTGCCAGAAATTATATTATCAAACTTTGATTCCAGCAATTTGGTTTCTAACTTAATTATTTTCTGTACCAATAACTAACTTATTGAAACAGAAAAGAGATTAACTTGTTAAATAATATTTATGTAATTTCTGAATTTATGTAAAAGAAGAAAGAAAGAAGATTATGAAATGATAATTATTTATTTTATGTAAAAGATGTAAAGATCATCTTTTACATAAATTTACATTATATGAAATTTAACTAAATACGTTACCTTATAAGATTGTAATGCTGTAAAAAATTAATTTTCTCTTCTATATTAGTATCATTTGCTACAGAATGAAATGCTAACAATATTTCATCTGAAATATAATAAATAACAATAAAAATTTATGATAGTTTTGTATATTTTAAAAAATTGTGTAATAATTATTAAAAAATATAGTTAAAGTTGATATACACTAGATCACAAAAGTATCTGGACACCTATAAAATGGAAGAGTTTTTACTTATCATTCATTTCTTACATGAAATAGGAAAAAAAAGTAATGACAGATGTAAAATCTTTAGACTTTTTTACATTATAAAAAAGTATTTACATGTATACAAAAACATTCATCAAAAAGAGAAATATACTTTGATTTAAAACTGTGAAAATTTTCATATCAAAAAAAGTATCTGGACAGAAGAAATAAATATTGATAAAATAAAATATTTTATACTTTTAAGAATGAATTGGGCCTCCTTTTACCCTGATAACAACTAGGCAGTGATTCATCCAAATTTTTATAATAGTTTTGTCTACTAAATTCAAAACTCTAATAACGATGTTTTAAGATGAGTTTAGTTTGTTATTGATTCTGTTCTGATTGTTTGTTCAATGTGATCTTATTAATGCTCAATTGGGTTGAGGTCATGCAACTGTGGAAACCAAATCAAGGAAGCACTTTTATACAGTGTACATCAAAAAACTGACTGCTTTTCAGTGTGATTTGGATTATTGTCATGCTGGAAAACAAACCCTTACCCTAACTTTAATTTTCTTACCCCCATATTCATCAACACAAGTTAGAGTTAAAGTTAAAGTTAGAGTTAGGATTGAATCTCGTGTTATTACTGAATTGGTATTCACCAACTCCGAATCTTAAGTCAAACACTAATAACTCTAACTCTAGAAAATTTGTGAGTAGACGATAAACTCCAATTTGATGTATGCGAAAAGCAATCTATTTCAGGGGGAATGGTGACGTTCGATGACAATGACAATGACTACAAAACTGAGATGCTAGAAAATCTGAAATATCTAGATTATATAGATCGCATTGAATGAACAAGTCAGAGGATTATTTCTCCAAGAAGAAATGACTTTAAATAATTGGATGATTACGACTTTGTATGTCAATATCATTTGGCAAAAGAAAGTGTAAGAAACATATTAGAATAAATTGGTAGTAATTTAGTTTCACATCAACAAAACATTATGGTTGTCACTGATAGAACAACTGTTATTGGCTCTTTGTTTTTATTCCACAGGAACATTTCAGTTGGTCGTAGGTAGGGATTGCAATCCAGCAGTGTTTTTAATCCAGCTGGATTTTTGCTGGACCAACATCATTCCAGCTGGAATGATGCACGGATGTTTTTTGGTGCAATAAAGTGTTATCTATCTATCCAGAAATTTATGGGAATTTTTTAAAGAAATAAAACATTTTTTTAAATACTTAAGAAACTTTTATTATTTAGACTGGTCACTATAAATCAGTAAAACTTCTTATACATTTAGGTAGTAAACTTAACTTTGGTTTGGTTTAACACTTGAGATAGAAATAATTAACTTTAAATGTTTAGTTAGATTATAATTATAATGTAATCTTTAAGTTAAATAATAGCAAAAGTAATTCTACTAATTAATTTATATTAATATATTATATTATAATAATGTAAGGACAGATAATCAGTGGCTAAGTGGCTATTAGTCTTATCAGCTTTCTTATATAGGCTCTACATATCAGTCTTTAGTTATTTATAAGTAATTTAATTATTAGTGTTAGTAAAGTAGTGTGTAAGTAATTAGTTCTAGTCTAATAGTTAGTTATTATTATCACAATCATGAATCACATACATTCATATCATCATATATCTGATATTCATGAATTTAATAAACTATTTAACTAGATAGTCTCAGTTTCTCACTAATTTTAATAATAAAATTGCCTAGCCTAGCCAAAATAAAAGTTAAAAACTCTTACTTAATAGAATTAGAGTAGAAGTTATAAAATATTAGTCTTGTCTTGAATAAAGTATTTTAAAGGATTAAATAACATTAAATCAACCACTTCTGTTATTTTTTTGACTTTTCTAAAAGTAGGATCTCAAGAAACATGGTATTGATGTTGTCTCCCAACCTACTTCTTAATAAACTGCATATATATCCCGCTGCCTCTACCTTTAGGTAGAGACAGCAGGAATAGAAGGCCTTTTCTGTCTCTATGCTAGTTGGTTTCAGTGTCATCAAATAATGATAAATCAAAGATAAGTTTTCACCTCTGACTCCCTCACTTTCATAAACAACCATTTCCTTTTTTAATCACTTATCATAATCCTTCTCAGTACTAGTTTCTTTCCGTTTCACAAAGTTTTCTTTCTCGTGCTTTAGTTGGATCTCTAATTCTTGTTCCAATGTGAAATTCAGGGAATCCAGGTTATCTGGATCATCATTTTCCACTTCCGTAATATTCTTTGCCATTGCTGCTGATTCCACTAAATATGTATTTACATGATTCAGCATATTTTTCATCTCCTGGCACATTACATTTTTTTTGGCATGTGAAAGATAAAGCTTTCTAACTTTTTTGTCATACTTCTTTGGGTTCTGTATGTAAATCAGCATCCCCGTGACCTCGGTAAGATGCCGTTCTCTGATTCTTTTGTGGAGTTCCTCGGAAAGGTTGGCACTCAAGATTGTGTCCTGGCTTTTTAGTTTGTCTAAGACAAATTTAAGGGTTGTGTCAGCAGTTATCAAATTTGACTCTTCTGTAGAGAGCTTCTATGGCCAGTTTAAACTGTGATCGTTCCATCACATGATTCATTGATGTCACAACTGACCGTAAATTAGAATTATGCACCAGGACTAGGATAGGAGTTACTTATTTTATTTAGCACAAAGACACTTTATTTAGTGAGAGCGGAAAGTCAACTGGCAATTAGATCAGCAGAGGTAAAAGAGCAGGCGATGCGGTGTAGAGAGGGGGTGTATCATTTGCTGCACTGAATGGCAACGTTGCTCTCGCAATACTGCACATAGCAAAGCGGCAAGGCCGACAATGTAGACTTTTGTGCCATAATTTAGAAAGTTAATTGAGTATTTGCGGATCCGCAAATACTTAACAGGCCAAAAAATGTGCTGGATCCAGCAATTGCAATCCCTAGTTGTAGGCAATTTAAATGATTAAGTCAATCATCTGCTTGAAGTGTGATTAACAGAGTGAGTTTTTACATTGCTCAAATCTCAGCAGATTATATTCAATAGCCTAAAACAGAATCTGAAAGAAAGTAAGTAGACCTAATATCCCATTATCTTTCGATATTATACTAATTGAATAATTTTATCTTGTTTTTTTTTTACAAGTTTTTATATTAGAATCATTAATTCAGATAAGATATAGTCTTTATTCATTTAATTTATATGTATTAATATTTCATTATGTAATGTATTAATACACATTACTTTTCAAAATATAAACTGTAATAAAATATAAAAATAATAGATCAAGTATATACAGTGGTGCCTTGTATAACGTACTTAATCTGTTCCAGGTGCATGTCCGTTAAAAGTCCGTAAATAGATATCTACGGCAGTTGTTGTTGAGTTTCAGACCTGTGAATGTTGAGCACTTCAAACTGGTAACTTCAAAAAAAAAAATTCAAGCAAAAAAAGTCTAGCACTTATTGCATCTATCAATATAAATCAAAAGAGTATGACAATAAACTTATAATTGTATCGTNTGTGGTGTTAAAGTGAATAGAATTTTATGTAACTTTTTATTTTTGCACATTTATCGTAACCTTCATTACTCTTTACGCCAGTGTTTTTCAACCAGTGGGTCGCGACCCCTAGGTGGGTCGCAAAGCCATATATGGGGGTCGCGGGTAAAAGAAAAAGACAAGTGTTTTTAGGTCTTACACTACAATAAAAAACTACAATTTCAGTGAGAAGGCTGTGCCTGTTTATTTTACAGTACAATTAGTTTTTTGATAGATATTTAAATCTCAACAGAAAGAAAATTAAATACTGTAAAAGAAAATCACTGACATAGTTTTAATATGGCCGTGGGGGTCGCCAGAATTTTTTAACTTGTAAAGGGGTCGCGTATTCAAGAAGGTTGAAAAACACTGCTTTACGCTAATTAATATAAACATTCTAAATCTTACATTAATTAACTTTTATTAAATAAGAGTCATGTTATAATTAAAATTTACGTAATCTTTTACGTACCTTTTTCATTATTGAGCATTTATTTTCTTTTCCAGCACGAAAAAAATGACGGATGGACATTTGCAAAATATATAGAGAAAGACATCCGAACACTTTGTTGTTTTCTGCAATGAATATAAACATATCAGTAAACTAGCATATGAGAACAACAAAGATTTAAGATTATTACATTATTTCGTACTTTTAACTCTTCTATTATATTATATCATAGTATTTGATTTATAATGTTCTACATCTACATCTATTGTTCTATTATCATGGTTCTACATCTGAAATTAGTACAGTAGACCCCCTATAAGACGGGTTCCTATAATTACGATTCCTATAAGTCGGCGAAAAAATTGCGATGGTATCCGTAAAAAACGATAAAAACTCCTATAATTACGTAAAACGTCATCGGGTAGCCGAACTTCTTTCCGCCGTCCAGCACCACGTTACGGAGAGATTACTATCGTCTGTACAGTATTATATATAAATTATATATAAATTAGGTACTGTAAATATAATTATATATTAAAACACCTTTAGTTCTTCGCCCGAGCTAACTCGGTCATGTTACATAGCCTTACATAAAACTAGGTCCTTTCGGCCTCCCAAAAAAATGTTTGTTTTCTTTTGAATTTTTGGAATGTTTTTTACGTCTCCAAATTTTTTCAAAAATTTTTACCCTCGCAAAAAATTTTATCGCGATTTTAATTAGCCTTTGATAAGGCTCGATTGAGGATTAATTGTTTTTTAATGGGAGTTTTTTTATCAAATTTATTTCATGGTTCCTAAGTTGTAGCGCACGGATTTTCCTTCGGTAAAGTTATTTAAAGCTGTTTTTTGATGTCAAAAACCACCTTCAATAGTTTTTTAATTTTTTTAATTAATAGATTTTATTATATACACGTTTAATTAAGTCGGAGGGTTCGGAAATCTCAATTAAAACTTGAATTTTTTAAAAATATACGGCTAGCTAGAACTCACCCTACTTTAAACCCTCGTCCTCCTGAGACTTCTATGAGAATGTCCTGGGAAATCCGATTCCAGCTGTGTTCAAGATCATCCAGCTGTGTAAACAATGACTCATCGGTGTCAAATTTAGCAGAAAGGCGAAATAAAGTTTGAAGCTTTTTCTTCAAAATTCGTTTTTTTCAGTTTTAAGTATTTTTTATGTTTAATTACATTAATATCAAAAATTGCTGGGAACTTAAGGTGTTAATGCCCAAAAGATGAAGAGTTTAAAAACAAATTCACTTTTTAAACATGGCTTTACATGCTATCTTGTGTGCATGAGATCTCATAGAGAAACTTCACATAGTTTCACCATTCATTTTTGCTGAAAGGGAAAATGGTAGTGGCACATCACTTTCTCTTTCAGTAATTTTAAGTTTATGAGAACAGATTTTGTACTAATTTTGAGATGCTCTACAACTTTGTAATTTAAACTGTGCTGCTATCATAGGAACCAAGATAGGATTTGGTCACACGAGAACAAGATCAGGGATGCATGGTGGCTATGCCATTGAATAGTTCACAATCTTGTGCACTAGTATTTAGCTATATGTAAGTTGGCAGAAACAAAATATAGCTTGATGCAATGTTTTTGTCTACATACTGCATATCAAATTACTATTAACTACTTTATTCAATTAAATATCTTTTTTTATGAAATCTGCTGCTTTAATTCAAATGGGGGAAAACAATTTGTAAAAAGTTTGAAAGTAAAAGAAATAATTTATTCCAACTTTTTATTTTTGACATTCAGTTATATTTTTTAATAATTATGTTTAACATTTAAATGATTTGACTCTTAGAACCAAAAATATATACATACCTGGACATTTGGTGAATGATTTAACAAATCTAAAAATGGAGCTAATGCCAAATCATTGTGACTTCTAAGCGAATCATTATTTGTCTTTACAGATTTCATATAAATACATCTTGTGTTCACAGACAACCAAGACCACTGAAAGATTTCATAAGTCAGCAAGCCAAAAAATTCCTTAAAATGATTTTCAATAGCATCCAACAGTTTTTTTATTCTCTTAAAAGTCTTTTTCAACAAAACATTTTGTTGTTTGACCACTTCAGCAACAATTTTTGGAATGCAGTTCAAAATTTCCAATGGAAAAGCTGCAGGTAATACATATTCTTTTGGCAAACTTTTTATGTAAGGATACCAATATGACGACGATCCTTTAAGTTTCTCACACATCAAGAAGACAGAAATCATTTCCATAGTTGATAAACTTTGATGATATCTAAATACATTAGAAATATTTAAGATTATGAAACACACATACATATGTATATATATGTATAAATTATATTATTACAGAAAACTTCTTACTTAGATAAAATAATATGCAAGTAAGAACTCATCACTGTTCCATAAGTAATAAGTGAATTATAAGGTACAGATATTAAAACATCACCGGCATTAATAGCCTCATAAGATTTTAATCCTCTCCCAGTATCTGAAAATTGTAAAAAGTCATATTAAGTATAATGATTTAAGTTTTTATAATTTCTATATTCTTAATATTCACACATTATCAATCTTATATATTACAAAATGAAAAATAAATTACAAAGTATAGTATTTTTAATCAAAGATATATAATGCACCAATATTAACTACAAATCTTAAAAAATAATGAAAACTTTAAATAAGAATTTTTTTCTATCAATTACATAATTACTAAGCAGATCAAAATTTATTTTGTATGAAAATGAGTCACAATATTTATTGTTTTTTCCTTTCCTACAATGCTAATAACATAAGGAAAATGACTAACATAATTATTATAATAAGTTCTCTAAACAGATGGTGGATATAACAAGATTTCACTTTGAAGATGGTTAATATGATATTAGAATGGGATCCTGTGCAAACCTCCTCCAATCTTGTTCAAACTTCATGGTAAGATAGCTTATGATCAATATTGAAATCAGTATGAGCTTATGATTAATATTCTTAGTTTTGATATCTTAGTTTGATATCTTAAATATCTTAGCTTTGAACTAAGATATGCAGAATATTAGATCTGAATGTTTTGTGCTTTCAGAGATAGAGGCTTTGATCACTCCACTCTTCTACACATGCATGTTGAACAAATAATCTACTTTCTCTTCCTATTGTATAACTTATAGTCAGTGAAACAGATGTACATTTTCAAATTTGATGACTTGGAACATTCTGCTTTGAATTCATCTATGCAAATCATATTTCTCAGTCCAGAAATTGGGAGTAAAAATTGATTTTGCATAACTGGATTCATAATTTAGTAACCTACAACTTCTAAAGTAAGCATGTTTGTCCTGTGTTGGTTTGCCAGTTAATCATTCATAAGGATGTCATCACACATACAGTAAGAATTCTTGATCTTCCCAATTTACAGAGATATGATTAAGTAAAAATACCCTGTGGATAATTTATCTTAAAGGATCTTAAAAGCAAATATTTCCAAGCATGTCATCTTAGATATTTTTTTTTTGGTACTATTAGAAAGTGTATCTTTTATTCTATCAGAAACCATGTTTCAAATTCACTTAAGATTCACTTATACTTTGATTGGCAATTCCTGTATTTTGTGCAACTTTTAGTTCATTTTACTTAAAGTTATAGCTAGTACAGTAGAGCATCGAAAACTCGGCCTAATGTGGACCGAAGGGTGGCCAAGTTTGTGAAAATGCCGAGTTATCGGGAATGGGGTTAAAAAAGGATAAGTATGCGTGTTTCCTCAGAAAATACTGTACTGTACTGTACTTGTATGTATTGTTTGCTTGAGAATACAACAGAGAATAAATACCCTTAAACAAAGGAAAAGTATGTCCTTTATGAAGGCATAGAGCCTTTACTACATGAAAATGAAAATTAATAAATACAATGTGTACAGTAATTTACCTGATAAGACAGACCTCAGAAAAATACTTTATGAGGCATAAAGCTGTCTATAATGAAAATTAATTAACTAAGGATTTTTTTTTGCCCTGCCAAGATGTGGCCGAGTTATCCGGAGTGCCAGATTATCGAGTGCCGAGTTTTCGAGGCTCTACTGTATTAAATATAAGATGCATCAGTGGTATCAAGTGTAAATGCCAATCCCTATTTAATATATACTAAATTCAAGTTTCTAGCATCCTGAATTGCTTTACAAAGAGGTAAAGTATTTAGTGATCAAAGATACACTGTTAGATAAGAGTTTAATCTAGTGCCTGAAAATCTGAACTACTTTGATAACACTGAAGGTTGGTTATCCAAAAGCAATGGAAGTCTTATGTTGCATATTTGAACATCAAACCATATGTTAGACCTAAGACACTAGCATCCAATAAATTTACACATGATATGACTTTAAATATGTAACAAGTCTTCTGTTACAATTGGATACTGAACCTTCAATATTATCAAAATTAAGACGGCTGATCAATCTGGTGTTGACTTGCTGCAACAACCTTTTGCTTATCTTTTTTGAATAATAATTATTTTTTGTACTTTTACCAGACAGGTATAAATTTATTATTATTACTCTTTGTTGTTGTTGGTTGGTGAAAAAAAATGTACTTAAAAACAGCATTTATCTTTATGACTATGGCATCAGGTCACCAGTCTGATCAGTGGTTTTTGTTTATTTAATTACAGTAATACTCAGTTTTCATTGACTTTGGTTATCATCAATTTTTTTTTTTGTGAAAAATTGTCTTGGTTTTTGTCGGTTGCCTCAGATTTTGTTGGCGTGCCCACATGACCTTGCTGCTAATTGCGCAAAAACATAGGGCAACCCACATGTTTTCTTGTTCAGTGTGGCATTTTTTCTCATTGTGTGAGCATTACCCCGTGCTTCTAGCATAATAATTTCATTGCTTTCCTTTCCTTTTAGCTCCAGCAAGGGACCAAAGACAGTTACCAGCTTCCCTTCAAATGCCATGGTAAATGCTGTTAAAATACTCATTTATTCTTTACATTCGTTTTTTATATTCATTTTATATTAATTTATTATTTTTAATATTAAACACAATATTTACTCTCTATAAAATGTGTTTTTGGTATGTATTTTGGAGTGTCTAAAACGAATTAATTAGATTTACATTGAGTCATATGGAGATAATTGCCTCAGTTTGTCAGTTTCGGATTTCGCCTATTGTTTTCAGATGGATTATTGACGAAAACCGAGGTATCACTGTATTGAATATTATATAGTGGGGATGCTTATGATGTCACATGACTCCACATTCATACACAGAGACTGTGCAAAAAAGCATGCACCATTTTGGTTGCTTGTTGATTTGGTTGTCAAGCTTGATCCTTTCCTATAAGCAAAATTAAATCTTTACCAATGGCTCTTGGTAAAATATCACGGTGGATAAATCCACTTGTTAAATAGTTATAAGCTTCAAGTGATTTGTATTCCTTCATCTGATCTAGCATGATAGCATTAGTTGTAAAACCAAATAATTTAAGATGCCCTCATGTTCTATAGTGAGTCATGTGGTTAAACCATTGGATGAAAAATCCATTGGTTGCATTTCATATGAATCCCATCTAATAAAAGAAATTCTCTCTATATTTTTTCAAATTGGCTGCATAGCTAGGCAAGATTCCTTTCTTCCATATTAACATAGTAGAGTAAACGAATAAGATAAAGTGAAATCAGCAACCAATATGGTGGATGGTTATTTTAATAAATGGACCTATGATGTTATATCATGTGAATGCATCCTCTCTATATTATATATCTAATTATTTGAATTTTGTGTGTTAATTTAATATAATTCTATTTTGATGCGTTTCTATTCTATTATTTTGTACTCTATATAAAGGATAGAAACCTTGTACTAATTTAAATAAAAATAAATACAGTTATGTGATCTCAGTTGATCTGGAAAAGTTTTGGAACTAAACATGCCAACAAGTCTGTAATAGATAACTTAGTTTTAGTTTTTGGGTAAAAATGAAAGTGTTTTCTTAGCTATCAATAGTATGGTTTTAATTACTTGTGAAAGTGGATAAACTTGTAAGGATACAAATGTAGCTCCGAATGAAACAGTTGGGACCTTATCGGAGTTATAGACCATGCATAGGAGTAAAAAACTCAAAAGAACCAATTGTCTAACGTGTGACCCTTTGTAAGATATAGCCCCCCTAAATCAGCCTATCTGGAATTTTGAAGACCCTCAAAAAATGGGATAAAATTTAAAAATGAAAAAACACTCCCACTCAATAAACCTTTATCTCTGGTAAAGCTTAAATTTCAGAAACAAATGATTTCAGCCTCACCCAAGATCTGCTTCAGGTTATTTAAAACAGGATTCCAAACTTAGAATGACTATCCACCTATGCCGCCGATCAGAGGTTCACGCAGATCTATCCAATGCCAGACTGATAAAAAGAGCCTTCCACATTGACCAGATTAGGACCCTTGAGGCCCTTGAAATATACAGGGCCAGCCTGAAGGGGAATTGTATAAACTCTAAAGACAGCAATGAGCTATCATACACCTGGCACTATATATGCAAAGAGCAAGAATTTGCTGATGCTCCATAGCATGCACATATGTTCCAATTTTATTTTGAAACTAAACATTTGAAGATGTTCCAAGGAAAGTCATTCTAAGTTTGGAATCTTGTTTTCAATTAACCTGAAGCAGACCTTGGGTGAGGCCAAAAACGTTTGTTCTCGAAATTTAAGCATTACCAGAGATAAAGGTTGAGTGGGAGAGTTTATTAACATTGATAATCAGATTAGAAGATATTGATTTAAAAATTTTTCTAAAGCTATTTCTAAAACCAATGCTAAAAAACAAACTGTTTTCCACTTTATTAGAGATGGATAAAACACAAGAAACACCCCGTACCAAGTACTTCTGGGTGAAATTGGAGTTACACTGCATGCTCCATCAAGCATATCATGTGTTTAACAAGCCAGGAGTAAAATTTCATATTTTTCAAAGGGTCACAATTAGACCATCAATTCCTTTTATGTGTTTACTCCTATGGCCATGGCCTGCAGTTCTGATAGTCTCAACTACCTCATTCAGAGACTTCTGTATCCCTGTAAGAGTATTATGAAATATCTTACCATTGAATAAGGCTGGTTTTACTTTCTTCATTTGAAATTTTTTATTTCTCATCCAAATATATAATTCTTCAATGGAATCGTCAAAAAAGGGCGTTTTGTTTCGTTTCTTCTTACGGATCCTAAATGTTCTGCCGAGTTTTCTCATATCAAAAGCATGTAATGTTCACATTAAAAGAAAAAAAAATCACTTCATATATAAGAGACAATCAAAGTGGAGTTTTACGCACCGCACATATAATTGATACATTTCTGAAACTTAAATTTTGATAGTAGTTATGAAGATCGATAAAATTTCTGTGGATTTAGCAATTATAATTACGTCCTTAATACAGTATTAAAATCAAAACATGCATCTACACAATTTAAAACTGACAAATTATTCGTTAAATAGGGATCGTCGAGTGCGAAATCCAATAGTTTGTTATCCCGAAAACATAGTTATGACGTTTCGGAAATCCACGTGTTCTCTTCAGTAGGCCGCCATCTTATTTCTAAGAATTATTGACTAAACACCACCTATCGGGATATTAGCCAGAGCCTTGAGCTGCCAATAGCTCTAATTACAGTTTCTTTCCCGCGATCCCGTTTTCCCGGGATTCTCGCCGTTCATTCCCTACGAGAAAAATCCCGGGAAATCTCGCATTTTAATAATAATTTACCCGCCTATTGTTTTCAGATGGATTATTGACGAAAACCGAGGTATCACTGTATTGAATATTATATAGTGGGGATGCTTATGATGTCACATGACTCCACATTCATACACAGAGACTGTGCAAAAAAGCATGCACCATTTTGGTTGCTTGTTGATTTGGTTGTCAAGCTTGATCCTTTCCTATAAGCAAAATTAAATCTTTACCAATGGCTCTTGGTAAAATATCATGGTGGATAAATCCACTTGTTAAATAGTTATAAGCTTCAAGTGATTTGTATTCCTTCATCTGATCTAGCATGATAGCATTAGTTGTAAAACCAAATAATTTAAGATGCCCTCATGTTCTATAGTGAGTCATGTGGTTAAACCATTGGATGAAAAATCCATTGGTTGCATTTCATATGAATCCCATCTAATAAAAGAAATTCTCTCTATATTTTTTCAAATTGGCTGCATAGCTAGGCAAGATTCCTTTCTTCCATATTAACATAGTAGAGTAAACGAATAAGATAAAGTGAAATCAGCAACCAATATGGTGGATGGTTATTTTAATAAATGGACCTATGATGTTATATCATGTGAATGCATCCTCTCTATATCATATATCTAATTATTTGAATTTTGTGTGTTAATTTAATATAATTCTATTTTGATGTGTTTCTATTCTATTATTTTGTACTCTATATAAAGGATAGAAACCTTGTACTAANTCCCAATGAAACGCTTTATTTTACTTTCATCTTATAATGTAGGAGAACATAAATTAATTGAGCCTGACGTGTCCGTATGGGTGAGATTGGCCCTACACTTTTAGTTACTTACTGGAAAATAAATTAAATTATTCAAATTGATGATATTCCTGTATGATCTTTTTTATTCATATAAAATTTTATTTTACTATCTGATCCCGGAATTTCCCGTAATCCCGCTGGAGGCAAATTTCCCGGGAAATGAGAAACCCTAGAGCAGGGGTGGCCAACCTTTTTAGCAGGCGGGCCAAATTTCAGAAATAATATTTCCTGCCGGGCCACGCACCTAATTTTTTTTTGTTAATTTAAGTAAACAAGCAAGCGTGCTACAGCTTCAACCACATCGTTGCTTTCCAGTAGGTGAGATCGTGGTCAAACACTTGCCTGGTTTAATGTAAATAAACACAAAAAAATAGGTATATATATTTTTTTAAGAAAATTAAACATAATTGAGAATCACTTATTCAATAACCGAGAAACATATTTATTAGACAATTAAAAAATNAGAGGAAACCCTTCGGATTTTTCTCCTATGTGTTATGTAAATATTTTCCACCAGGGTGGCGCGCGAGTAACTTGCAATTCGAACTGTTCTAAAAGTCTTTCACTTCAACCTCAGCAGTCGTTTGTCACTAACTTCAGCATAGTGAGACACTTGTCGACCAGTATCGAATCTTGTACCCATTTATAAGCAATTTCGACTGGAATGACGGAATAGGATTCTTTTTCCTTTACTTGAGAAGGAACACGTCTCTTTCTCGGATTAAAATCAATTTCCATCTTCCGCTTCATCTTGCTCGTTTATCGTGAGACAATTTTCGCTTTTTTGATCAGTACGAAATCGGCCTTCTACTGGTTTAGCACAGGGCGCGTTTATCGCTGGTGTTTCACAACTCTAAACCGTTTATTTACAAAACGGCTTCTCGAATTTTAAAACGTTTATTTCAAATCCGTCTGGTAAGTTTTCCTCCTACGAATTTCTTAAAAGTGCATCGTTTCTTCCATAAATCGTTTTAGAATAGAGAGGTTGCGGCCATGATCGATGTTCCAAACGCCACTGTCAAACTTCTAGGCTTACAGGAAGGCGGTGCTAAACGTCCAAAGTACAAGTTTTCGCGTTGAAAATGTCGGCCGCAACCTCTCTAATACCTTCCGAAGTTACATTTCGTCGTTATCTCGAGTATTAGCATTCAAATTTCTATTAATGTTTAGAAATTAGTTTTCATACTTCGATCCATACTTTTTTATTTATAAAAAATTTCCTGTATTCGTGAACACTGATGTCGCTTGCGTTGCTTTCTTCTTTGCTCTTATTATATTTGCATGCTGACGAAATGTCTGGTGTCAATGGCTTAGAGTAGGAATCTGGTTCGGATATCAAAATAAAGCTCTTGCGTTGTAGGTGAGTCCACTGCTATCATAAATAGAAAATTCACAACCGTTCGGGCGTGATAGAGCGGCAAATGTACAATGTTGAGTCTATGGGGAAAGACATTTCGGGCGTTCGCGCTTTGTGTAGCAATTTAGTTTTTTTAAGCGAAAGGCTCTATTTAAGCGAAATCTTCTGTTTTTTTTTGTTAATTACAGGCTCATTTAAAGACCTTCTGCATTATTTTTAGTATTAACTCAAAGCAAATAAAAAAATTATAAAGTTTATGAAAAGTAGTATCGTACGAGTGAAACGATTGTACTAAATACGGTTCGAATAATCGATTAATCAATTTTACATATTCGTAAGCAAAGAGTATCCTCAAAGGAAAGGTCGATTCTGCTCATGTTAAATTGTATTCCTGTAGTTGGTAAGGGCGTGTGAAGACATCAAATTTTTATTCGTATTTAGCCTTCGTTTTGTAATATTTTAAATATATTTTATTTTATTTTTTATTTTTATGGAGATTATTTATAGAAAATTATTTTTTAAAAACATTTAAAAATTTTCCAAATTAATTTTAAGAAATGTATTAAAATCGTTAGATGGCGTTAGTCTATATCACACGTGGAAGACATGATTGTTTATTAATCTGTTACTTTGTATATTCGCTCTTAGATTATTATTAACATTTAATTATTATAATACAGTTTTTATATTTAAAAACCTACAAATAAAAAATGTGAAATAATGTGTTTTAGACATAAAATGTTGATCAAATTGTTTCAAGTTGCAAACTTGAAATATTGCAGAAATTTGGCAACGGCTTGTGTCCCTGCTAAAAAACAGATTTTGGTTAATGTCCAGAGTCGTGGACTGTCATGGCTGCTCTTCCTGTTTTAGCCTCGAAACCGGACGGCTTTGGAGACGACGTGTCACGTGACGACGAGAGCGAACGGCGGCGGCTGCTGCGTCGCGATAAACGGAGATAACCAACGCGCGGGTTAACGTCCATATACGTAAACTCATTGCGACTCATGTCTGATTTCGCAAAAAGAAAAGGAAACACTGGGGACGCACGTTCTAACCTAACCTAACCTATTCTAATAAATTATCATAATTATTACTAATTATATTATTAGAATAGGTTAGGTTAGGTTGGAACGTGCCTCCCCACTGTTTCCTTTTGTTTGCTGGAATCAGCGGTGAGCCGCCATGACAGCCGCCGGCGTTCGCTCGCGTCGTCACGTGACACGTCGTCTCCAAAGCGGTCCGGTTTCGAGGCTAAAACAGGAAGAGCCGCCATGACAGTCTACGACTCTGGACATTAACAACAGCAGCTATAACTAAAGGTAAACTTTGTATAGTATAAGATACTTTTAGGTTATTCCTACAATTATAAATATGTAGGTATTGAGGTAGAAATGTAGCTCAGAATGAGGCAATTGCCACCTTATCAGAGCTGTGGACTTTGCCCGTAAGAGTAAATAAGTCAAAGGAACAGTTGGTCTATGTCGGACCCTTTGCAAGATATAGACCCCGAAATCAACATATCTGGAATTTTGAAGACTCAAAAATGGAAAATTTAAAAGTAGAAAAACCTGGAACTATTTCTCAAGACAAAATTAAAAATCAACTGTTTTTCAGTTTACTCGAGACAGCTAAAAATACATAATACCTTTCCTTACGTCAACACCCCTATACCTAAACACGCGTTCGGCAACCCCTGGTGTTTTTCTCAGCAGTTTGCTTGCCTGATGATATCCGTTTAACGCGGGGCGAACACATTCGCACTTCGTGTTTAATTTTCTCGCTGGCATCTTAGGTGTTTGTAGTGTTCATTTTTATCTAATAATAACCAGTTCATATCAATGCCCGCAACAATTTGAGCAGTGCGCGGCCGCGCAGCTTAGAGGGAACTTTGGTGATAAGTCCTTATTATCTACCTCACATTAGTAGATTTTTAATTAATTCTTATCTTTGTTATGAAATACACTGTCGTTTGCATTATTGAAAATTAAATTAGGGGGTTGGAAAGGGATTACATTGTTGTGGACCAGAAAAATTGGTTGCGAAGAGCAAGAAGTGTATGTGTGTGTGTAACAAAAAATAAAACGACGCGCGTGCTAGGGACAAGAACACAGTCCGGTGCATCGTTCATATTTATATTATTTGTATTTTTGGTGGTTTTTTTGTGGGTCGAAGGGGTTCTTCCAACTGGACAGTGGGCCCCGGGGCCGCCGATAAAGCGAAAATTCCAATGGGGATCTAGAGGGCGGCTCAAAGCCCGGAGAGCGGCCCAGCTACAAAAGGGGCCTGCAGGGCGGAACCGGAATCTGTCTTACTAGTAGCCCGGGCCGCCCCATAGTAGGCGTTCTTGCAGCAGCGGTGTCATTCCGTGGTATAAATAATAAATTCATATCAATGGGAAAGTTTTACACCTTCCCGTGGGAGAATTCCCCCTCGGAGAATTTATTTCCTTCCTCGTGGGGAGGGAGCTAGGTTTACCCCCTCCCCCCGCGAGAAGGGCGTTCTAACAATAGCGGTGTCATTCCTTGATATAAATAATAAATAAATTTATATCAAAAATAAACTCCTATTACAAATTAAAATAATTTATTGTTAATTTACATAATAGCTAGGGGCGCCCCTAGTGGCCATTCTAGGCATACCGTTATAGATATAAACCATTGATCGCATGTTCGTATACTATTAGATGTT